TACTCCCATTGAAATAATTGCTCGTGGAGTGTAAACTGATAAAAATGTGCCGAAAATACGTCCTTGTTTATGCCTCAAGTCATGTATGCTTGACAAAGCTTGATGGTTTTGTAGTATTATCACACTGTTGTATCCCATAGTCTGTAATATGCATTTCAACGAGTAGGTCATGTACAGCATGTCGGTTTTATTTCGACGACCTTATTTTTATTTTAGTTGCTTAACGTATGCTATGTTTCTCTTTTTTTTTTAATTACAATTCGCAAATAAATCTGGTGGGAATAAATGAATAGATAAATACATAAATAGATAAATCAATGAACAGATGAACCAATAAATAAATGAATCAATAAACCGATCGTTAGAGACTGTAGAGATTGTAGCGCATTCATGTAAATATAAATAGGACAGTAGAAAAATTGTTTAAAAGGAATCATCTTAGAAAAAGAACAGAAAAATAGATATTATACAAAGTATTATCTACGTTTATCTAGTCTAAATAGATACGGTAGATTAAAACGAAATTACTTTGTTTCAAGCATACACATTTAGATGTACCTAAAGACCAAATAAAATAACTTGATAAAATGAGATGTCCTTATATATATAATTCGTATCATTAACTGATAAATTATCTGATAATTATCTGTTTCCTTAGTACACTATTCAACATAATGAATGTTTCAACTTTTCCTAACAACAAGAAAATACAAATTTTAATCCAACCTCAAATTCAATGAAATTAGGGGAAAATGTTATCAAAGGAAATATTTACACGGAGACTCCCGAAAAAGTACGACGATAATAAGACCAGGTGTTCACAATAGTGTTATTACACGTGTCTTACGATATTTATGGCGTTACAATAGTGTTATTACATGTGTCTTACAATACCTATGACATCACAAAAGTGTTATTACACGTGTCTTACGATATTTATGGCGTCACAATAGTGTTATTACACGTGTCTTACAATACCTATGACATCACAATAGTGTTATTACACGTGTCTTACAATACCTATGACATCACAATAGTGTTATTACATGTGTCTTACAATACCTATGACATCACAATAGTGTTATTACACGTGTCTTACAATACCTATGACATCACAATAGTGTTATTACACGTGTCTTACAATACCTATGACATCACGATAGTGTTATTACACGTGTCTTACAATACCTATGACATCACAATAGTGTTATTACACGTGTCTTACAATACCTATGACATCACGATAGTGTTATTACACGTGTCTTACAATACCTATGACATCACAATAGTGTTATTACACGTGTCTTACAATACCTATTACATCACAATAGTGTTATTACACGTGTCTTACGATATTTATGGCGTCACAATAGTGTTATTACATGTGTCTTACAATACCTATGACATCACAATAGTGTTATTACACGTGTCTTACAATACCTATGACATCACAATAGTGTTATTACATGTGTCTTACGATATTTATGGCGTCACAATAGTGTTATTACATGTGTCTTACAATACCTATGACATCACAATAGTGTTATTACATGTGTCTTACAATACCTATGATATCACAATAGTGTTATTACACGTGTCTTACAATACCTATGACATCACAACAGTGTTATTACATGTGTCTTACAATACCTATGACATCACAATAGTGTTATTACACGTGTCTTACAATACCTATGACATCACAATAGTGTTATTACACGTGTCTTACAATACCTATGACATCACAATAGTGTTATTACACGTGTCTTACAATACCTATGACATCACAATAGTGTTATTACACGTGTCTTACGATATTTATGGCGTCACAATAGTGTTATTACATGTGTCTTACAATACCTATGACATCACAATAGTGTTATTACACGTGTCTTACAATACCTATGACATCACAATAGTGTTATTACACGTGTCTTACAATACCTATGACATCACAATAGTGTTATTACACGTGTCTTACAATACCTATGACATCACAATAGTGTTATTACACGTGTCTTACAATACCTATGACATCACAATAGTGTTATTACATGTGTCTTACAATACCTATGACATCACAATAGTGTTATTACACGTGTCTTACAATACCTATGACATCACAATAGTGTTATTACATGTGTCTTACAATACCTATGACATCACAATAGTGTTATTACACGTGTCTTACAATACCTATGACATCACAATAGTGTTATTACACGTGTCTTACAATACCTATGACATCACAATAGTGTTATTACATGTGTCTTACGATATTTATGGCGTCACAATAGTGTTATTACATGTGTCTTACAATACCTATGACATCACAATAGTGTTATTACATGTGTCTTACAATACCTATGACATCACAATAGTGTTATTACACGTGTCTTACAATACCTATGACATCACAATAGTGTTATTACATGTGTCTTACGGTGTTAAGGACATGGCCGTGTGCCATGATAACAGAATAGTTATATGATATGAATCATTAAATTAATTTTCTCCTTCAGTACACTTACTTTAGCCATCGTTTTGTTGTGGTATGTGTCTTATTAACAACCTACACTAACCATATAAAATCATTACCTTATTTCAATGGACGGACCTGAATGTAGTTTTTACAGTACCACATAATCTCTTTTCCTACAACATAAATGTATACATTTCACAAAATTACCACGAGGGATGTCATTTTTACAAAAATAACGACAGAAAATGAAATAAACGAGGAATTCACATTCATCTCCATTGTATCATAGTTCTGAAGTCCTTTAATTTCACCTTTAGATTAGTTGATGATGTATTGTCTTTGATCAACAAAAGAAATAATATTTGACTAAGTCTATATTATATAACCACCAGAGATTGAATTCAAGGTCACGACTTTCCTTCATTATCTCGATCATTCAACGCAACCAACAGCTTTCCATTAAGTTGCATGATAAGCGCGATGATTCCAATATCCGTATTGTGAATTTACCATTTCTAGGTAGAAACATGCGTGCTTCTATATGGCGTTTACATATCGCAGTGACTTCGATATACAAATTTTCCTTTACGGTATCAGTAAAAAGATGTCTTCTGTATGTAATTTTAAATTTGTATTGAAATGTACTACTTACTTGTGTGTATATTCATACAATAATGACAATTAAAACGACAGGAGCCACGACTGAAGCAGAAAACTCTTACCCTTCCACAAAATTTGTCATCTTCTACGATCCGACCAAGGAACTCAATATAAATATTTAATTTGTTCATATTAATAATTTCTATTTTGCAATTTATATTTTGAATCATTTAGAAGATTCTTTGACCCATCGATACGTTTTTGTTGCTAATATTTATTCTATTGCTGCAAAGTTTCATGTGCTATATATCTGGTTCCTTCCATTCTTATCGCTTATACCGACGAGACGCCTAGTTTACATATTTGTAGTGTCCTGCTAATCACTGGGAGTGAATTTCCGTAATGATCTTGTGTAGTCGCCTTGATAATTTCAAGTGTAAACTGATGAAGCATTTAGATTAGAAGCGATGATAAGGGGAAAATAAACTTAGGGATAAATTTACAATTTGAATACCGCTGTTATATGATGTGAAAGAGCCTAGATTGGTTTATCAAAATATTGAACTACAATTTAAATAGTTTTTGGGATCTGTGTAAAGCGTAACTACCGGTATCATTGGCCTGGTATCGAATGTTCCAGGTATTCGATTGAAGTATCATACATGGCATTATTGAGTAAAGTACCGTATGTTGGTTTGGTGATGCTCTCGAATCGTCGGTTAAAATAACGATAAAACAATGCCAACATATTAACAAAACATAAATTCAAACTCAAAATTTAAAATAAAAGCAAATACACACAGCTCTAAGATTTACATGAAGATTGAATGATTGAATGAAATGACTGATTCTGTTATCTAATTAAAAAGTAAACGTTCCGTATTTAAAAAAAGAGATATGATTAGATCACAGTTCGCTTGAAGCAACTTCACCAAGTAATAGCCTACAGGTCTACGATTTAGGAACACCTAGCCTTGTACAACTTTTTCACGTGTAAATATTTCTTTTGTTCATATTTTGGCATCTTTTTATCAAGATTGACTTTTTAATTATGACTCTGCTATGCATGTGTGTGTCTTTTGTACAATATTTTCCTATTGGTATTTTTCTTGTTGTTTATATTACCTACCTGGTAGCACACTACTGTATCGACGAAAGCATTTACAGGATCATTTTTGAAGGTTCTCTAGAGCGGGAATCACATTTGAGCTTCTGATAGAGGCTTCCATGGGTTACTGGTCTCTCCTTCAGGGCCACCATCAAATATATTGGTGAAACCGTATATACATGCTCAAAAAACCACAAAAATAATGTTTTATATTTTCCCAATATATTTTCATTGTCAACTTGCCTTCATCCAAAATTCTGCACTCCAGATTTTTAGCTCGTTTTCATGATTGCTAATATAGTCTCGGCTATGCTCAGGATATTTTCTTCCCCTTGAATGAATAATTCATCGGGACATGCGAGGAAGATTGATTCCAAGGTCAAGACTGGATCTGTACAGACAGCATCCACTACGGTCTTTAGCTCCGTCCATGATCAATTTTATGATATAACTGTGATATTAAAATATTTAAATGAAATGTCATGAAATTTCATGAATTCGACATTCAACTATTTCACTATTTATCTACTTTGATACCGAATACTTTCTTTTGAATTGTTCAAGAGACCTTCGTATATCTAAAGCTATCTAAAATTTTCTATCTCCCCATGAAACTTTCCAGCTGAATGATTACTGTAGTATAAGGTCCCTTGGAGTAGGTCTTACCTACATACACCACACATTGTGTAGCACCTCATGTAACCCCTCCTCGGCCCCAAATCTCAGTAGATACGTTACATTGCGTGCACGTTATGTAAGCGAACATGTTACGAGATTCTCTCCGGTGAAAACAGAGTCTTTTAGTACAAATCTGGTCTATGTGAACGTCATATCAAGTACATTTAATTAGCTGTGGGATTGTGGAATAGTGTACCTGTTTCGCATGTTTTGCATCACACAAGTGTGCGTTTGTAGTATTTGTACCTGTTCGTGTTCTATCACCTTTTACTACAATACTTGGTGATGATGCCAGCTTTTGTCTAATTGTTTAAGGAGTGCTAATATTGTGTCTCACTAAGGTCGGCATTGACATCAGTATCTACAGATACGTGAGTTAATGACAGGACGATATTAACGGATGTACGGATTTTTGTCATGATTTGTCACAATGGGATTAACGTATTTAGAATGATAAGCATATTCACCCTGTGACATTACTTCATCTGTGATTGACATATGAAACCGAGAACTAAATCATATACTTACGGTTCAAATGTTAAGCGCTAGCTGCAATGCAATACAGAAGATAATTACAGAATAAGTGACACCGAGATTTGAATTTTACATCTATGTGTCAACTAGACTTTATTGTAATTCTGTAACGACACAGGATCCATATCAACTCTGCTGTTTGTTCTCGTCTACGTATACTATTCAGACATTAATCTGTCGTCTGGCGTAAATGCAGGTTCCCGCGATATTTCTTGTGGGATAATTCTCTGAAATCGACATCTGTCGTCTGCAATTCTCGCGTGCAACTTATAACAAATCTGTGAGTTACAGAAAATCAAAAGAGACCTTATCGCCTGCTTCATAAAAGAGCGTTTGGTTATAAATACTTAAAAGGGATTTAACAACTCTTAACATCGATCATTGTAAAACGTTCCAAAATGGCTCTGGAGGAAATACGTGCAGAATTAGGTGGAAAATGGAAACTGGATAGAAGTGAGAATTTTGATGAAGTCCTAAAGGAATTGGGTGAGTGAAGAATTTCTATAATTGTCCATATCGGCAGTCATTTGATACAAATTTGCTAATTGTGATCAGATAACCTCCTAGACTAATTGATTTTCTTACCTGTGGGTCGGCACTTCAAACAAAATACCTGGCTGGCGTTTATTTGTTTAGCAGACAGAGCCGAGACATCTAGGCGGCATTGTTATTGGGGAAAATCTCGAGTACTCTGTTAGAATTATTGACATTCAAGCCTGACGCTTCTAAGAATTGATGCAAAATAAGGGTATAGCATATTGCTACCATTCTACTTTATAAAAACCACTACACGTACCTTCAGGGGCTTGTAACTGTAGCACTAACAGAACGAGTTCTGTAATATATACTTTAATAAGGCATCCATTCCCAGCAAATATTACACTATTTATGATAGAGCAAAAATGATGCATTTTGGGTGGAATTCATACAGTCTGACTTCCTTATGTTTTGTTGGGTATGTAAGGGTGGGGTTGATGACGATGACGTTCCAATTTCAAGCAAAAATACACAGAGCAATATTTTAAAAACACACACAAAAGCATAACACAAAAAACAAGGATTATACTGGGTGTTATTTTCGTGTTTCGGATAAAACAATTCACTTGATTCTCACATTCAAGTTAACAATTCAGATCCCAGGGAAGTTTCAATGCCAAAAGACTTTACCACATGGTGGGGCAGTCGTGTTGTTGTTACGGGATCAATGTTTCTATTGTTACATGTTCGACGACTAACGTCAAATGGCAACTTTTAAGAAATTCTCGTTACGATTTGAATAGGAAGTCATGCCAAAATCGATTTTCATTAAGACTGAAAGATGAGAGAGACGGTTTTTGGTTTGAAACATTATGTTTATAAATCAGCTGCTCTTATCAGTACTCAATAACGATTATCCTGCAACATAAATGTTAATATGTCTATATCTACATTGACTGTGGATGTCTCTTCGGTAATGAGTCATGCATATGTTTATCTTATAACGACAGCTGAATGTGTTATAAATCTGTTAACACGATATTGACAACTAAACTTATTGTAGATTATATCAACATTATATTGACTACCAAATCTACTGTAGCTTACGATATCACATTGACAACTAAATTTGTTGTAGTTCATGACGATATTATTTTATTTCATCACCAGCTTGATTTGTCGCTGCTTATTGATGTTTTGGGTTTGGTCTGAGTTATCAGCTGATTTGCTCGTCATGAAGATGGAACGTGAAATATGCTCTGATTTAAACTGAATACTTGATTTTGAATCCTTATGCATTTTCTTCAAATGCAAATTTATTCCTTCTTTTGCCTCGCTTAAAAACAGATGACGTTACTCTTCCGGAACACCCGGTCTTATTGTCCTTGTATTTTTTCATGAAAGGCCAGATAAATCTAGCTTTTTGTCATTCAGTATATCGAATTTAGATTATGATTACATGCATGTATTGGGAACTAAATTTATTCAGTTTTTGTCTACATTATTTTGGGGCTTAAACTCATATAGTTAATATCAACAAGAAATAATCAAGGACACAATGTGAAAAACAAAGGAACCACCAGGCATACTAACACGCATCAAAAACCTTCATAAACATGGTCCCTAAATGACTTGCAGACAAAACAACAAATCTTAGCAATATCATATGAAGTTGGTATGTACGAAGCAAATTACTGATGGCCTTCTTATATTTTCGTACAATTTGAATTAAAGACACGTTATCTTGTTATGTTCTAGATGTTTGACACTTCTAAGTATGCCTTGGGGTTCCGTTGTTGTTAAAACTTGTTCTAATTCGGAAACGTAACAGTACATACTTGGATTGACTCATATTCACATGAATAAGAATTCTTCCAAAACGCCTGGTATTATTCTCCTCGTTCTTTTTATGAAATCTTCATGTGAGTCTGTCTTTGCTTCAATTTTTGATATTTTGTCTTCGTCAAATTCGAGTTTGAATTAAAATGAAAGATTCTGTTAATATTTCGGCTTTGTTGTTTTCGTTTTTCACTTAAACATCAGAGCCAAGAGTCAATATTCGTTTGATGTTGAGTTTCGTAATGAAAACGATATTTTTGAGATAATGTATGCAGATTTAATCTCAAACACGAATTGATTTGTCATGTTTTTGTAACATCTGTTATCAGATAATTGAAGACAAAATATTCCCAGACAAAATATTGATATTGGAAACTAACTAACAAGAAAGTGACAGAACATAAACAATAAAGATTTAGGATAATAATTTAGAACGAGTGCTGAAACATCCAGTACATGTTGTTGAAAGCATAGTTAACTTCATATTAACTTCAGACGATTTTTATAGAAAAATATTTTTTTGTAAAATAAGTAAAAACACTTGAGCCATAATGAACAAAAATATTTAGATTTGTTCGCAATGCTCCGGTTTTAAATACTTTTTCACGATGTATAATACTTATAGTATTTAAGTATAGCCGAATACAGTTAGCGTGTTACGATTTCTTGGAAGTAACACGTGGACTCTTTTGACAAATATTTCAAACACATATGGTTTATACACTTTACTGATATGGTCTTTTCAATGTCTATAGATACAATAATAATTACGCTGGATCACGTGGGTTTCCATATGCAGAATGCCTGTGTTCAACATGTCGTGATGAAACCGTTCTATAAGGTGTGCCATGCATGTTATCACACCTAGCGGGTCTGTGATCGGTTGAAGACACACTTGTTTCAGATGCGATGTCAAAATTTCAGATTAGTTCTGACTTTAGAAAGGTGGCACATATCGCTAGTTAGGAATTCCATTGTTTATGCCATTTATGGACATCTTCAAAACGTTTTCGTTTTACCTAGCCAAAGGCTCGATAGAATGATAAAAAATCTTTTCAATTAAACTACATATTGCTGTTTTTTCATATTTATGAAATTGAATATCTTTATGTAGAAATAACCTAAGTTTATCAATTAACACTGATGTAAATCTGATATATTGAGATTACTGCTGGTGCAGCCTGGTCGGGACCGTTTATAAATGCGATGATTAAAGACCATCACGTTCTCTAGTAAACGCCATAGTTGTATCCGAAATTTTGCTGCTTGAGCCCTTAAAATAAATTATGTAAAAAAAAACGGATTTTTCTCGACTTTAAGAATTTGATAACCCCTTGAAACAAACTTAGACAACAATAGCGTTATCGTACTGGTGTTTTAGCATTTTAACAGGATGCACGACATGTATGGCACAGAATAACGATCAGGTACAAAGACATGGTCACCAATTATCGATGTAGTCTGAAACGTTAAACGTTACACCTGCCTAGTATTTCTATTCGTGTAATGAAAGCACAGCTTAGTTGATAAGCCGTGTGTGTTGCACATTGCACTATTCTGAGTTCAGACAAAGGTCCATGTATATATTTATATATGACCCTTGTATACAGATAAACAGCCACATCTGTCTCTGACAAGGTGTCCTGTCACTGGTAAACGTGTCATCCCAGGGTTCCATAGTGTGTGGTCTGCCTTGGCGACAGGCACCAGACAAATTGATTCGTTTGTCTGAAGAAATCATATGCTTTTGGAAAATGTTACACTGTGTGTAATTATGGATAAATACGCGTTAGGTTTTTAAAAAATCTGCATGTTAATGATGTCTATCACATTCATCCGTGTTAACGCCATTCAACAGAAGATGTAAATGTTGGCTAGATTACCTTTATCCTCAGTCGGAGTAACGTCGTACGTCATGTCGGCTTTTTGATTGGTTAAAATTTTGATTGCTGTCTTCTGACTAGGTCGGTACTGGAGTTCTATTTGATGGGCTGATAGATTACAGTTTTTAAGAAATCTCGTCTTATTTGAAGGCAGCTTGATTGCTGGTATATTGTGTTGGGAAGAGCAGGCCGAGTTAATTCGTCACGTGTTTTCACTTTGTGCTGTTTAACCCATTATTTTCCAGATTTTTTGAAAAGTCGATGAAATGCAGCTGTACATCTTTACTGCCCTGTTGATTATCTTGTCATCCACTGTCTGACTCGTGTTGGGAGTGCCGACTCCTTGCCAACTTGTGGTGAGGTTTCCGTCATATACCACCATCTACCCCGATTGGGGAGTGCTAACTCGTGGTGAGGGTTCCGTCACATACCACTATCTAATCCGAGCAGGGAGCGCTAACTCGTGGTGAGGGTTCCGTCACATACCACTATCTACCCCGATTGGGGAGTGCTAACTCGTGGTGAGGGTTCCGTCACATACCACTATCTACCCCGAGCGGGGAGCGCTAACTCGTGGTGAGGGTCCCGTCCCATACCACTATCTACCCCGAGTGGGGAGCGCTAACTCGTGGTGAGGGTCCCGTCACATACCACTATCTACCCCGAGTTGGGAGCGCTAACTCGTGGTGAGGTTTCCGTCACATACCACTATCTACCCCCGAGTGGGGAGCGCTAACTCGTGGTTAGGTTTCCGTCACATACCACTATCTACCCCGACTGAGGAGCGCTAACTCGTGGTAAGGTTTCCGTCACATACCACTATCTACCCCGAGTGGGGAGCGCTAACTCGTGGTGAGGTTTTCATCAAATACCACAATCTACCTCGAGCGGGGAGCGCTAACTCATGGTGAGGTTTCCGTCACACACCACTATCTACCCCGAGCGGGGAGCGCTAACTCGTGGTGAGGTTTCCGTCACACACCACTATCTACCTCGAGCGGGGAGCGCTAACTCGTGGTGAGGTTTCCGTCACATACCACTGTCTACCCCGACTGGGGAGCGCTAACTCATGGTGAGGTTTCCGTCTCACACCACTAATGTTTAGAAACAGTCCAAAATTGATTCAAGTTGAAGCTTGTAGAAGTCTGTATTCAAAGAATTCTCGAAAACCAAACTGGTTGTATCGCCAGTTGGTGTATGTGGAAGTATATATCATAAGATGAATATTGTTGAAATACATAAAACACATAGAACGATTGTACAAAAGACATACAAGTATATAACACG